CTTGTAATCCTAGCTATTCAGGAGGCTGAGATCTGAGGATCATGGTTTAAAGCCAGCCCAAGCAGGAAAGTCCTTGAGACTCATCTCCATTAAACCACTCAAAAACTAGAAGTGGTGCTGTGGCTCAAAGTGGTAGATCACTAACTTTGGGCAAAAGCACTCAGGGATAGTGCCCAGGCCCTGGGTTCAACACCCCCCCTAAAAAAAAAAGCTGGACATGGAGCTGTGGCTCAAGTGGCAAAGTACTTGAGGGAAAAAAAAGTTCAGGGATAGTGTCTAGGCCATGAGTTCAAGCCCTAGGACTAGAAAAAAAATGAAGTCCCAAGAAAAGGAGAAGAAACAAAGGAAGATCAAGCGAGTCACTCTAGAATGTCTTTTTAAAAAATACTTATCTGTTTTTTGTATGCTGCTCAAGCTCCCTATGCCCCGTGGAAGTCAGGGACTATTCTAGAAGTATATGCATCAGGTACAGTCCCTACAACCAATTCGGCAGCTCTCAGGAGAGCAGAGAGGAGCTTCCCACCTGCCCCCCACTACCTAACTCATCCCCCCAATCCCTTTTGCTGTTTGTTCTGCTCCGTGGCCATCACCCCCTCTCTGATCAGGACTGCACACATTATCCCGGAAGTTTTTTTAAGTGCACTTCCTCCACACCTGAAATAGACGCTTTGATGTCTGGCCAAGCCCTTCTGGGAATTCTTATCTCTATACAAGAGAGGGATGTGTATGAACAGCTTGGCTTTCTCGGCCAGCCAGGCACCCATGTTCATTTCCAGGGCTCCATGGTTACCATGACAACAGCAAGCTTCCTCCCAGATGCGGGAACAGCAGTCTGGAACTGGGAGGGGTAGGCAGTCCTTCCCCCCCCCCCCGCCCTGCCCTCCACCTGGTGGCTCTGCCTGGCCACCTCAAGTCAGGTAACGCAGAGGGACTGGAGAAGGAGGAGGCTGTTAGACAGGGGTCCTTGGGGGGCCTCGTGGCCAGCCTGAGTCACTGTCCCCGCTGGGAAGTCACATTAGTCACACCTTTCAGAGGCTGTGATCTCAAACTGCATATTGAGCACCTGGGCTGGTCTCCATGTCAACAGGACCATATTTTTAGGCAGGAGTGGGCGGCTTCTCCAGCTGATCAGGAGAGCTGGACTGGGAAACCACCATGGCACAGCTGGGGAGGGGCAGATGGGTCTCACATCTGCATAGCGCCTGCCACAAAGTCTCTGAAGGCCCCTGAATGCCGGCAGTTAGAAATGTTGAGACTGAGCAGGAAAAGGGTGCTGCGTATAGGCTTGGGGGCTCCAAGAAGGCTCCATGGACTCTTCTCCTGGCAAGCCTGGGGGGTGGGGAGGGGGCTTGCCTGCCCGCTGTGAGCCAAGGCTGATGTGTGTGGCCAGGCGCACAGCACAGATGAGGTCTGTGTGACTTTCCTAGAAGGACAGAACACTTGGCACTCATGGAGCATGGATGGGAGGAGTCCATTCATGGAAGGAGCCAGCTGCCATATTGTGAGGACACTCAATCAACTGCATGGAGAAACCCACATGGGGAAGAGCTGACATCCCTGGCCAGTGAGACACTGAAGAAACAGATGCTCCAGCTACCGCCCTCAAACGCTACAGCCCCACACGTACCACAGCCCTCAGGTATTACAGCCTCAGATACTACAGCCCGAAACATACCACAGCTCTCAGCTAGCACAGCCCTCCAGATACTACAACCCTCACAGCACCTTGACTGAAATCTTAAAAGACACTATAGCATGCCACCTTACGCCAGTCAGAATGTCCCACATCCACAAATCAGCCAAGGACAAATGCTGGAGGGGATGTGGAGAAAGAGGAACCCTATTACACTGCTGGTGGGAATGTACACTTATACAACCACTTTGGAAAGCAGTCTGGAGGGTCCTTAGAAAGCTAAAGATTGACCTCCCTTATGACCCAGTCATACCACTTCTAGGCATCTACCCTGAACAACAGGAACCAATATACAAGGACACATGCACCTCCATGTTTATTGCAGCACTGTTCACAATAGCTAGAATATGGAAACAACCTAGATGCCCCACTACAGATGAATGGATCCAAAAATTGTGTTATCTATACACAATGGAATATTATGCAGCCATTAGAAATGACAAAATAATGGCATTTGCAGGGAAATGGATGGAGCTAGAAGGAATCATGTTGAGCGAGGTAAGCCAAGAGCAAAGAGACAAATGGTACATGGTGTCCCTGATAAGTGGATGCTAAATCCAAAATGTTAGGTGATACGACAAAACTAACAGGACTTAAGAAACAAAGAACTCCCGCTCATCTGGTTGAACCACTACTAAATATCCCCATGCTGCTGATCACATGCAAGGTGTATATGTGTACACCATTAATGTTATAGACCGTGATAGACAATTTGCTCCAGGAAAGTTAGAATGAACTTGTGACTTTAAATGAGCATCATTATTCCACAATACTGTGAAATTCGGGAAATAAAAAAAAAAAGAACCTCGGGGAAGGTAGGGAGGGAAGGGATGGTAGGGGGGAAACAATGGAGGGGGTAACAATGCTCAATAGGAAGTGTACTCATTACCTTACTCATGTAACTATAACCCTCTGTATAGTATCTTTACAATAAAAAAATTGAAATAAAAAAGACACTATAGCTAGACTCATCCAAGCTGCTCTTAAAGACTCTTGACTCAAATCATGATGCCATTTGGCCTTTAATAAACTAATGAGCCAGGCACCATTGACTCACACCTGTAATCCTAGCTACTCAGGAGGCTGAGATCTGATGAGCAAGGCTCAAAGCTAGCCCAGACAGGAAAGTCCATGAGACTTTTATCTACAACTAACCACCAGAAAACCAGAAGTGGTGCTGTGGCTCAAGTGGTAGAATGCTCACCTTGAGCTGAATCTCTCAGGGACAGCGACCAGGCCTAGAGTTCAAGCCCCAGGTCTGGCCCATAGAGAAAAAATGAAAGAACTGAGGAAGGAAGGAAGGAAGGGAGAGAGGGAGGGAGGGAGGAAAGGAGGGAGGGAAGAGAGAAAAAAAGTAACTATTTAAAAAGAAAAAAAGCATTCTGCATCTTTGGGGGGCAGTATTGGGGTTTGAATTCAGTGCCTTGCATTTGCTAGGCAGGTCTCTACCACTTGAAGCATATAGATATAGATATATAGATAAACACATGTATGTATGTATGTATGTATTTTAAATACAAGGTACTGTTCCCCCAAATGACTTGCCCTGGAAATAAGGTGTATTCACGTGTGAATTGTATCACAGTGGTGAAAATGAATTTGACACCATGAGGCCATCATCAGCCCAGTACACCCACAAGGGGCCCCCCAACCCCTCCGGGAGGCCTGCATGTATATAAGGGGCAAGTGGTCACAGGGACAAAAGCTGTAAGGCTGAGCTGGGAGGAGAGGAAGCTGGGGGTGAGCAGAGCATGGACAGGCAGGACTGGCTTCAAATTGTGGAGTTTGGTTTTTCCGGAGTCACAGATGGAAGGCTCCACCTCTGCCAGCAAGAAACACTGCTGCTGTTTCTTAGAGATGCAGAAGGTGTTTTGTTTCGCTTTGCTTTGCATAATGGACACATTTCCCAGGCCAGCCCCTTTCTGGGTTCTTTGTCTTGTGTCAAGGCAAGTTGTTGTTTTTTTTTTTAAGTCCTTGGTAGGCCGTGGGGAGGCAATTTCCATGTAATACAGAATGCTTAGGATGGAAAAAGCTAACTTTTCAATGTCGCTTCAGGGACCATATTTTGTGCATTCAACACAGCTGAATGCAGACGAAGTCAAGGAAGAAATTAAGTGCAATCTCCTGACAAGGGGATTCGCTGGAGGGATGCCAGTGAGCTACTGCCCCCTGGTGCTCAGACACGGTCGCTTGTGGGGTTTCTTCCCAGCGCATTTTAAAAACCCCTAAACCAAAGCTTGCAATCTGGCAGACCCCATCGCCAGCAGGAAGACCTAACTACTGTTCAAAAATCTGGAAGAAAAAAACATAAAAAGAGGTTGGCTGTAATAGCGCACACCTGTAATCCCAGACACTCAGAAGAAGCCCCTAGAGTTTGTTCCGGGGGTTTCAAATTCAAGGCAGTGAATTTGAGTACTGGAGACTGAACTTTGGCAGGAACTCTACCGTTTGGGCCATGTCTCCGGTCCCCCCCCTTTTTTTTTGCCTTGTTATTTTGAGGTTGGGTCTTCCCCCCCACACACGCCTCCCCACCTTCCCAGGCCTAGGCCACTGCTCCCGGCTATTCAGTGAGTCGCCGTCTGGGGGATGCTTGTGCCCTGGCCGGCCCAGAGCCGGGCCGCCCCTATCTCCACCGCCCTGGTGGCCAGGATCGCGGGCTGGGAGGCCCGAAAGCCTCCTGCAGATCCCGAGCTCGAAGACTTCAAGTCCGATGGGCTGGATCTGAGCCCAGGGCCCGCCAGGCCACCAGCGTGGAACGCCCTCCGCACAGGCCGCGTTTCAGGATGCGTGGGCTTCCACGACGGTGAAGGGCAGCTCTCCCAGAGAGGGTGGAGCTGTGGCTCGAGTGGTACAGCTCCAGCCTTCAGCGAAAAAGCTCAAGGACCAGGGGTTCGAGCCCTGAGCTCAAGCCCCCAGGACGGGCGCCAGCGCAGATGCGAGGGACCCGGGCCCGACACCTTGCGCGCCCCCAACTCTGCATCCACCAGCGAGCGATTCGCACACCTGCTCCGCCCGCCTGTGACCCAGGCCACGCCCCTCCGCTGTTGATTGGCTGCTGCCGGGCACGAGACCCACGCCAACGACAACCAATGGGAGTGGCCCACGGCGGGCTTTTCCCGGGTTAGCCGACGCGGACGGCAGAACCCGGAAATGCCGGGGATGGACAGGTAGGGGAAACCAATCCACTGCGACGAGCGTAGCGGATTGTCCAATGGGAAGCCCCCGGGGGCGGAGTCTCCACAAGGCCGGCGGGGTGGAGAAGGTCCTGGTAGTGGCGGGGGAGAGCCGGCCGGCGCGGGGCCTGCGAGTGTGGGGAGCGCGGCCGGAAGGCCCCGCAGCGGCGCGCGGTGAGGCGGGGGGTGAGGCCCGCGGGGCTCCGAAGGGTGCCGTGGGGCCGCGAGCCCTGGGCGGGGTTCGCAAAGTCCGGGTCTGCTGAGTGGCCTTCCCGCGGTCCCTCCGCCCCTCCTGGCCTCAGTTTCCCCCTCCCGCGCACCCCCGGCACCGGGGAGCCGGCTGTCCTCCGTGCTTTCACAGGCAGGAGAGGAGAAGCCTCCGGGGGCCCCGCCTCAGGATGAATCTGGGACCCCAGATCCTTCCTGCCCTCCGCGCCCCCCTCCCCTTCTCCTGGAACTGAACTTACCGGCCGGGCCTTGATTTCCCTCACCTGCAGCATGGAGTTACGGGTAGCTCTTCCTCCTCATGGTGGTGTGAGTTAAGGTCTGGTGAGACGAGAGGTGTGCCCAGCTCAAGTGTCCAGCACCCCCATAGTTGCCCAATAAATGCTTATTGTTGGCACAATGGTGCTTGAAAACTCTGCCCTCCTCCACTCCCCCTGCCCGTCCCCATACTCCTTACCTTTGGTCAGTCGTGCTGACCCAAGGCCTGACTTCCATTCCAGATGCTCAACTGCCTGGTCTCTCAGCAAGATCCCTCAGGGGCAGGCCAGGGAAGGAAGGTTGGAAGGAACAGCACTGTGAACACCGAGGCTGAATCAGGGTCAGGGGAGGAAGACAGCCGCCATGCTGCAGCCACTGCTAATGTACCAGAGAACCGCCATGGTGGATCTGTGTTATCTGGGCATCAAATGCCAGGTTTTAAGGGCTCAGAGATGATGGTTGAGAATTCCAGAGTTTGTGTCCTCAGGCTCTCTCTTGGTGACTTGGGCAATTCACTTCTGCCAGCCTCAGTTTCCCCTTGTGGAGCATGCAAATGAGATCAGCACCCCCTGCTCAGGCTGTTTCAGGTGGTGAGAGATAATAGGTCTGCGGTGGTACTTAGTGCTTAGTGCCACTAGGTACTGCACCTCGCCCACCGCAGCAGGAGTTTTCCGTCACACCAGTCCTTGCAGGCTGTGAGAGCCAGGCCTGGTCCCTGAGGAATCAGAAGGCATGGGGGGGGGGGGTCGTCCAGAGCAGCCCTCCCCACCTGTCCTCTGGAACGGATCCACTTCTCTCTCTGCCTCTACAACTTTCCATTCCTTGCAGGTCTTGTTGTTACCCGGCCCACCTGACATGTGCAGGGGGGCCCACCCCTGAATCCAGATGACGCTCATGCCGATGGCGTCAGTGATGGCGGTGACCGAACCAAAATGGGTCTCGGTCTGGGGCCGTGTCCTGTGGCTGACACTGCTGAGCATGGCCCTGGGGTCGCTGCTGGCCTTGCTGCTGCCGCTGGCGGCAGTGGAGGAGCGCTGCTTGGCTGTGCTCAAAGGCTTCTACCTGCTCAGCAGCAAACTGGACAGGGCGCAGCACGCCACCCCCAAGCGCACCAGCCTGTCCACGGAGCTCAGCATCACCTCCAGGAACTCGGGGCTGTTAGTGGTCAAAACCAAGGCATCTCCAGGTAAGGCAGAATGCTTTTTTCTGTTGTGTTGAACTCGGGGCCTTGTGCTCTCACTTGGCTTTTTCACTCAAGGCTGCTGCTCTCCCACTTGAGCCACAGCTATACTTCCAGCTTTTTGGTGGTTAATTAAAAGTAACAGTGTTGCCGGGCGCTGGTGGCTCACCCCTGTAATCCTAGCTACTCAGGAGGCGGAGATCTGAGGATTGCAGTTCAGAGCCAGCTTGGGCAAGAAAGTCTGTGAACCACCAGAAAACTAGAAGTGGCACTGTGGCTCAAGTTGTAGAGCACTAGCCTTGAGTTGAAAAGCTCAGGGACAACAAACAGCCCAAGAGTCCAAGCCCTACGACCGACCAAAACATATAATAATAACAATGTCTTGGATAGCTTCTAAGATCCTCAAATCTCAGCCTTCTGAGTAGCTAGGATTACAGGCAGGAGTCAGGGGTACCCAGCTTAATGCTTATTAAGAAGAAAGATGTTTGCAGAGGTCCTGCTGGGTCCTGTGAGCAGGGCCCAGGGGTATTGTTGTGAATAAGTCAGCCGTGAGCTCCCAGCTGAGACAAGCTGAATGGTAAGCAAGCCATAGATAGCATCGCGGGGGTAGGGGAAGCACAAAGGACCGGAGGTGGCGTATGCAGTGGGTCCCTGCCATGAGTGGGCATGGTGCAGGGTGAAAGGCCGCAGAGTCCTCAAGATGTGGATATGTGGATGACCCGCTGTGAAAAGAGGGCTGGATCCATAGCCGGGTGCCTCCAACCCCTACATCCTGAAAGAGGGGGGGGCCTGAGGCACCCCTGCCTCAGCCCTCAGATGTTCAGCACGCACCTCCCCCAGTGTAACAAGCAAGCGCGACCGCAGACTACCAGAGGACACCCTCCCACTGCGCGCAAAATGCAACCATTGAAACAAACAGCCCCGACAGGCAGGTGCTTATGACTCCCGCCTGTCATCCTAGCTACTCAGGAGGCTGCGATCTGAGGATCACAGTTCAACGTCAGCCTGGGAAGAAAGGCCTGTGACATTCTTGTTTCCAACTAACCAGCAAAAAGCTGGACATAGAGGTGTAGCTCAGGTGATGAGAGTGACAGCCTTGAGCAGAAAAGCTAAAGGACAGTGCCTAGGCCCGGGGTTCAAGCCCTAGTATTGGCACACCAAGGAAAGGAACAAAGGGAGGGAGGGAAGAATAGGAAGGGGAGACAGAGAGAAAGATAAAATGTCCAGGGATGGTGACCCAGACACTAGGCTGAATAGCAGCACCCCTAGGCCCGGGCTGGAATGAGCAGCCGAGGTAGGAGAGTTCACCTTTGGAGCTATGGGCCTGGGACAGTAACACAGTGGGGAAGGGACAGGACACTTAATGCCAAGCCCTCGGCATGGTCCCCGCGGAAGACAGGCCCACTGGGTTCCCCCCAGTGTGCAGAGAATGGCTGGGGGCTGTGGGAGCGTGGCTAGGATGTGGACTGACCAGGCCTCTGGCTGTCTCCTAGCAGGCAAGCTAGAAGCCAGAGCAGCTCTGAACCAAGCGCTGGAGATGAAGCGCCAGGGCAAGCGGGACAAAGCACGCAAGCTCTTCCTGCACGCCCTCAAGATGGACCCGCATTACGTGGATGCCCTCAACGAGCTGGGCATCTTCTCAGAAGAGGACAAGGACATCATCCAGGCGGATTACCTGTACACCCGGGCTCTGACCCTCTCCCCCTTCCACCAGAAGGCGCTGGTCAACCGGGAGCGGATGCTGCCGCTGGTGGAGGAGATCGACCAGCGGTATTTCAGCACCATCGACGGCAAGGTCAAGAAGCTCTTGTCTATCCCCAAGGACAGCTCTGCGCTGCGCCGCGTCCTGGAGGAGACGTACTACCACCACATCTACCACACGGTGGCCATCGAGGGCAACACCCTCACGCTGTCGGAGATCAGACACATTCTGGAGACCCGCTACGCCGTGCCGGGCAAGAGCCTGGAGGAGCAGAACGAGGTGATCGGCATGCACGCCGCCATGAAGTACGTCAACACCACACTGGTGTCGCGCATCGGATCCGTCACGGTGGACGACGTGCTGGAGATCCACCGACGGGTGCTGGGGTACGTGGACCCGGTGGAAGCCGGCAGGTTTCGGAGGACCCAGGTATTGGTGGGACATCACGTGCCTCCCCATCCGCGGGAGGTGGAGAAGCAGATGCACGAATTCCTGCAGTGGCTCAACTCGGAAGACGCCATGAACCTGCACCCGGTGGAGTTCGCCGCCCTGGCTCACTACAAGCTGGTGTACATCCACCCGTTCATCGACGGCAACGGCAGGACCTCGCGGCTGCTGATGAACCTCATCCTCATGCAGGCCGGCTACCCGCCCATCACCATCCGCAAGGAGCAGCGCTCCGAGTACTACCACATGCTGGAGGTCGCCAACGAGGGCGACGTGCGCCCCTTCATCCGCTTCATCGCCAAGTGCGCCGAGAGCACCCTGGACACGCTGCTCCTCGCCACCACCGACTACTCCGTGGCACTGCCAGAAGCCACGCCCAACCATTCAGGGTTCAAGGAGACACTCCCCATCCGGCCCTGACCCTCGACGTCACCCCCCATCCGGCCCTGACCCTCGACGTCGTTTTCTTCTCCCTAGGCAAAGAGGGAACCAAAGAAAATGCCATTTCTAGAAAACCTAGTTCTGCAAAAACAGACCTTTAAATAATCTTTATCTCCAGATGGTTTTTTCTGTTGTTGGTGGGTTTTGTGTTTTTAAGTTAAAAAAAGAAAAAGTTAAGTTATATATGTTCTCTAAAGTAATTTATAATCCAGCAATGTTATTTATTTGCTTCTTTGGAGTGAGCTACCTATGGGGGGGGAGGGAGGTCCTTTGTGGCCATGCTGGTAGCAGCTGTGGGTGATCAGGACGCAGGTTGTGGGCAGAATTTGCACTAAGGTCAGGGTGGGAGGCAGAGCTGGTGGGAGCAGAAGGAACGGAACCCCAGGTTTCTGTCTGAAATGGTCCTGTGGTGGTTAGAACCAGGAAGCAAGCCGTGCTGGGGAGAAGCGAGCCCATCTGCTCGCCGAGATTTCTGCCTCTCCATCCAGACGGCTCTGGTGGCTTTCCCCGCCTCTCCAGACCGGAAGTGAATGCAGACATTTGCATTCGATGCCTTACTCATTTCCAAGGAGATCTTTGAGCCATGTGAGTGCCAGAAGCTATTATTTTCATAATGAGACTATTTTTCTAATTCAGAGGGAGGCGGCAGCTTTGGTTTTGTTTTCCTTACATTTCATTTGTAGTAGCTCAAACCAGAAGCTTCTTTTAGTGTAAAAGCTCTCTGGGCTGGCTCCCCAGTAACTGCTGTGGGTTCTTGACCCACAAATGGAAGAATCTGGCAGGCAGGGGGCTGGGATCAAGGCCCTGGATCTCATCCCCAGCACTTCCAAGAAAAAAAAAGGAGGGGGGGGTAAGTAACTTTTCTTGCTAAACAACCCAGTGTCCTGTGTCAATGTGTCCTGTGTCACCTTAGGACAGTCGTATGGCACATGTGTCAACTGGCTGCTACTTAGACCTGGAAATTACGGAGTCCTTCGAGTCCTTCCCCACAGGCCAAGTGGTAGTGTCTGCACCAGGCTGGTCTTTCGTCAGCACTGGGTGCTGCCATACTTGGTTTGAGATACGCTTTTGGTGGTCAAGCGGTCCTGCCCTGACGAAGCAGGTGTTTGTAAAGTGCTTTGTGCCACAGGCACACTCAGCCTGTTTGTGATGCTCCTCAGTGCTGTCAGCCTGTGGTCTGAAGATCAGGAAAGGTGAGGAGGTGGGCCCTCAAAGCCGGAGGGAAGCACTGTGCCTCGGTCTCCTGTGCAGGAAGCGGGATTTGTCTTGGTTTCTCACACCAAGAGGGCTTGGGGCTTGCTCGCCGAGTCCCGGTGAGAATCTGCACTTTAGCTATGTGTGAAGGGTACTGTTTTAACAAGTTACTGATTCTAATAAAGTATTTTATTACGTACACGTCTGAGATGTGTCGTCTTACTTGAGCATGTCCCAAGGGAGATGTGGAACTGTCAATCAAGCAGACAGCTTGCCCCCGGCATGGAGGCCCACTCGTGAGCCCCGCTGAGGGAGGCCGTGCTCCGGGCTCCCCTGGGTCTGGGCCACCACCCACTTGCCAGCAGACACAGCCCCTGGGGAGCGGGTGGCACGGCCAGCTGGCTGCTGCCCACAGCTGCTGTTTACTTTTCTAGGTCTTCACAGAGCTAAGGCCTAGGAAAGTTTCTTTCTGCACACTTTGAAGGATTCACAGGAAGGAAAAGTGGCGGCTTGGCCAGCAGCTGAGGACAGGAAGGCACTGGTGTGTTCACAGGTGACATGACCTGTGACCTTTGTATGCTGACACCTGTGCCCCTGTGCAGTGAGGGGGGAAGGGTGGGCAGAAGCAGGGGTGGGCTGTGAGCCGATAGCTCAAGGACAGGCATGGAAGACTTAGTTTTACAGTTCAGCAAACTTGTTTAATCTGCTCAAATTTTTCCATTAAAAAACAGTTAAGTGGCTAGGCGTGGAGGCTCACTCCTGCTGGCCTATCACAGGACGAATACAAGTTTGAGGCTAGCCTGGACCACACAGTGAGACTAACTTAAAAAATAAATACAACTAAAATTTAGGTTGAGAGTGTGGGCTGGGTTGAGTATGGTGGCTCACGCCTGTAGTCCCGGCTACGCAGGAAGCAGAGGTAGGAAGATTGCAGTCTGAAGGTCAGCCAGGGCAAACTGGGAGAACTTCTCAGGAAAACATATGAAAAGCAGAAGAACTAAGGTCACAGAGGTAGAAAGACGCTCTTGTTAGCAAGGCCCTGAGTTCAAACCCCAACACTGGCAAAAAAAAAAAAAAAAAGTAAGCTCAGGATGGAGTGTTTGCGTAGCTCGGCCCTGGGTCTCTGCCCTGGGTCCCTGCCCCGGCACTGCACATCACAGGAAACCTGACGGCTGTGCAGGTAAGGAAGCCGATTCCCACGACACGGCCGTCTCTATAAACATGGCCCCGCACAGGCCAGTGCTGCCTGAGAGCCACACACGCTTGATAGGAGACGGCGGGAAGAGCGGCCGCCGGCACTGCTGGAGGGCTGTGCGGAGAGGAAATGACTTAAATCAGACACACAGAGTGACTTAGAAAAGTTCTATTTACACAGCGAGGTGGGCAGAGCAGAGACCCCACCCCAGGACCGCTGGCATGGCTTTGGATGAACAGGGGGAAGCGGGGGGTGGGGGTGGGGGGGGCTGTGGCTGTGAACGAGAGCGAAGGGCTGAAACTCGCTGCTGAGCTGGGAAGACGGTCCCCAGAAGCGGGACGCAGAATTCCCACAGAAAACAATCGCTACAAGGACTTAGCTTTCGGAGACACAACAGGTTGCCTGTCCTTGACAAATACAGAACAGAAAATCCCCCCCGGCCCCTCGGACCGAACACCAGCCAATGTGTGTGACGTCACCGGAGCAGGTCCCCGGGCCATGACAGGCCAGCACCGGCCGGGCGGCGGAAGCACCGGGGCGAGGGTCTCCAGAGCCATGTTCCCGTGTCCCTTCTGCTCTTGCTCCGTGCCCAGCACGTGGGCCGGCCCTCAATGTGAGGGAGCACTCCAGTGTCCGCGTGGAGCACGTGCTCCCGTTCTGCTCAGCAGGGTCTGGGCGCAAGCGCCGTGCTCGGCCCTCTGACCCAGGTGCTGGCACGATTAAGGCATTTCCAGTCTCAGAGTCCCGCTCACTTTCTCAGAAACAACTTGGCAAAGTCGGCATTGGACATCTTGGGCGTCTCGGAGGCCTGGGCGGGGGCGCTGGGGCGCGGGGCCGGGCCGTTCTCCGCTGGAGGGGCCGCCGCGCTCGGGCGCTGCAGGGCGCGAGGCAGCAGAGCCAGCTGAGTCCTCCCCTTCCCGCGCCTGGAAAGCAAACACAGCGCACCCTGCTCACGCCAGGCTCCTGGCCCGAGCTCACCGAAAACAACCCAGACTTCTAAGAGCTGGCGTAGCTGAGGGCTCACACCTGTAATCCTACCTACTCAGGAGACTGAGACCCGAGGATCGCAGTTCAAAGTCAGCCTGGGCAGTAAAGTCCATGAGACTCTCAGCTCCTATAAACTATCAAAAGCTAGAAATGGAACTATGTATGGTTCAAGTGGTAGAGCACAAGCCTTGTGCAAAAAACCTCAGCAGCAGTGCCCCCAGGCCCCGAAGTCAAGCAGAAAGGTGGGGAGGGGGAAAGTGGGTGTGTGGCTCAAGTGTTGAACAGCTGCCTAGTATGTGTAAGGAATTGGCTTCAATCCCCACCACCCCTGAGAATAAAGAGTATAATAAAGAGTATATGGGTTGGGAAGGTGGCTCAGTGGTAGAGTGCTTGCCTAGCATGCATGAAGCCCTGGGTTCAATTCCTCAGTACCGTATAAACAGAAAAAGACAGAAGTGGTACTGTAGCTCAAGTGGTAGAGTGCTAGCCTTGAGCAAAAGTAGCTCAGGGACAGTGCCCAGGCCCAGTTCAAGCCCCAGGATTAGCAAAAATAAAAAATATATGTATGTATTATACGTATCTACCTATGCTTTATATTATACATATACATATATATGTGTTATGTGTACATATAGTATATGTCTTTGTATACGCACAGTTTGTGTACATGTATATGTATACACATAGATAAAGTATAGTATGTATGTCTCAGGAACAATAAGCCTTAACCACCAGTCTCTCTCTGATTCTGCACCACTCTGCCTTGCTCCCCGTCCTGGCCAGGCCCTGAGTAGCCACGCAAGCAGACAGACAGGCCTGTCCTCCCTCAGCTTCGGCAAAGGGCCAGGCCGCTTTGCCATCGGTCCCCATCAACTGTGGCGGGACAAGCTCCGGCCATAGCAACCAAGGCGATGACAATAATCACTGCGTAACAAGGTGTGACTTTAGGGAACTGGTGGGTACAGGGGTGACCACGCCCTGGCCCCAGTGAACTAGGGGGACCTAACGGAGAGCAGGCCTGGCTCCCGTCCTAACCCCGCCCCACCCATCTGCAACTTACGCTCCGTAGGTCTGCCTCAGCACCGTGGGGCCGTGGGACGCCTTCCCCGCCTCCGGCTTCTCTGGAACTTTCCTCTGAGGGGGGTTGCTGATGGCCACCTTGATGGTGTTCTCTCGGATGGTCATGCCGTTCATCTTCATGACCGCCTGGGACGCCTGGGACTCGTTCTCATACTCCACATAGGCCAGGCCCTGAGAGGCGAGGGCAGACCCGCTCAGATGCCGCAGCCCGCCGCCACACTGAGAACAATGCCGCTCCAAGTGACGGCAAGGCTCTAAGCGGACAGAGGGTGAGGGGGGGCAGCAGGTGGGGGGGGGAGGCCCGGCTAGGAGGAGGCCTGGCCCGCCTGCTGGAGGCATCCCGGCAGCCCCAGGCCCCACCGTGGGACCCTGGCTCCTGTGTAGAGCCAGGTCAGATGACCCCGTCCAACGGGCCATGGGGGCCACCCCAGCGCTACCCAGCCCTGAGACCCTGTAGACAGCGACGCGGAGCGTGCCCATGCTGACCTTGGGCTTGCCGGCCCGGTTGGTGACCAGCCTGAGGTCCTTCACAGCGCCGTGCTCCTTGCAGATGTCTGCCAGCTCCTCCTTGGTGCAGGAGAAGGGCAGGCCAGAGATGAAGAGCTTGTGTTTCTCCAGGGCGGTGCTGTACCTGAATACCTGCAGGGGGCAGTACAGAGTGTGGGGCTCAGAGGCACCAGTGACTTGCCAACCCAGCCCTGCACGCGGCCCCGGGGCCCAGGAGAGCCTCCCTGCCTCCACCAGCCATGTCAATCCAAGTGCAAATGCAGGGCAGGCTGGGCTGTTCCTTGGTCGCCAGTACGTGACATTTTTCCCGAGTGTGATCACCCCCGTGGCCTCCAGGAAAGGCAAGCTTCCTCCACACACCTACCTTAAAGTCGGGGTGCTTGCTCTTGTCCACGCAGGGGGACACAAACATGGGCCTCCCCTCCACGCTGGTGCGGTCCAGCCGCAGGGCCTGCAGGGCGGCTGTCTCGTCGGGAAACTCCACGTAGCAGTACCCGCGGAAGTCCCCACGGTTGCTGAAGACGGGGCGCACCTCCACCACCTCCCCGCACGCCTCGAAGAGCGGCCTGAGCCTGGCAGCCGGCTCGTCCAGGGAGTAGGGCAGGTTGCTGACGAACACCGTGACGCTGTCCTTGCTGCTGTCATGGGCCACCCTGGGCAGGTCACGCCGCGCAGCGACCGCCTTCTCCTTCTGCTTTGCTGGAGGACCCACGTCTCCGGCCGCCCATTTCCCCGACTTCCCTGCTTCTCCTTCCGCATCCGGCGGCACGCTGTCCTCCACCCTCCGGCGCTTAGAGGGCTGCTCGGCTCCGCCTCGAAAGAAGCAGCAAGCGAGGTGTGAGTGCTCACGGCGGCTCGGGGGCCCGCGCCTGCACACACTGGACAGCGCGGGCTCTGCCCTCTCTCGAGGCCCGCCTCACCTGTCCCACGACTTCCTGTGTGTGGAGGGGCCACAGGAAGGGAAGTGGTAGAACAGACCTGCACTGTCCGTCCACTCAACCATGAAAAGGGTCAGAGGGCCCCAAATGTGGACGGACATAGCACAGGATCCAGCTCCCACAGCCCTGCACCAGCCAGGACACTGGACAGGCTCTATGGAGTCTGTCTGTTTACTACAACACTCAATACTATCCCGAGACCTCCAAGAATTTTAACCCGCACTTCTCCAGCCTGACTCCCGAAGCTTCCACCGGTTGCAGCATCCTGCAGAGCGCCACCCCTCCGTTCCCATCTAGTCGAAGCCCTCCGGCTGCACCAAGAGTCCAGGACCAGGCCCAGCTGGCCCGTGTCCCGGCTCCAGCCACCTCCCCGCTGACCCGTCCCTCTGCTGGGCAGCTGAGCGCACATCCGACTCTGCTGCTCACAGAACATGCTAGGCGGCCTCCTGTGCCTGCATGGGCCACTAATACCTGGGCTGCGTCACCCAGGAAAATCAGGGGGTCCCTTTCCCAAGTGTCCAGCCAAAAGATGACTCAAGCCACAGGGCAGGGACATATGCCACTCAGTCCTGGCCTGGACCCTTGTGTGAGGGACACTCCCGGGACGATGGCACCTGGCGGGCAGGGCCTGGGGACTAAGGGCAGGATGGCTGTGACTGCAGCCATCAGAGATGGCGTGAGGCTGGCTAACTCTTCAGGGAAGGAAACACTGCACTGCCTTTGCGTCTTTTCCGCAAGTCTGAAATGTCTGCAGATAAAACAAACCCAGGGGGTTTTCACCTTCCTCCTCGCCGCCCCACTGGTCCTCGGCCTCCTCCTCCTCTCCCGCCTTGCGCTTGTCGGCGCCACGGGTCTTTTTCTTCTTCAGGGCCCTCTTCTCAGCCCGCATCTTCTTCCGTTGTTCCGCCTTCTCTTCCTCCTGCTGTGCGAGGCTGGCCTCCTTTTCCGCAGCCTGGAGAGCGGCCCAGAAAACCAACTTAGGATGACGTGAGAGGGGGAGGGGAGGCGGACAGAAAGGACAAGGAGGGGCGCCCAGCACCCGCCGGGGCCTCACTCAAGTCTACGGGAGCTTTACGGTCAGCCATCACTGCAGCAGGACAAGAATCGTCCATCTACAAAACCGGGGCGCTTCTAAGACAGCCTGGGTGTTCATGTTCTACTCCTTTTTACTCTTTTCCATCTGCTCTAGCAAATTTTAGGATCAGAACCTCCCCTCCCCCCGCCCCATCCATGAAAAAAGTTGTCAACAGAGCCAAAGTTCTAAACTAAAAAGATGGCTCAAGTGTCAATATTACTCCAGTATTTTCTAAGTAATACTCTGAGTCAAACACTTTTTATGAAAACCTAAAAAAGGTCCTGGGGAGAAACAGCACCCCGTGCGGCCAGGAGAGGGCGCTGCACCAAGGCCCTACCTTCACCCTCTGCTCAGCGACCCGGGCTAAGCGAGTCTCAGTCTTCTGAACAGCCGAGTCCCAGTCTTCTAAAGTACCTGGACAGGAAAGGGGCAGAACGGTCTCACCGCAGTCTTTGAGGAGTGACATTTCACCATCTGCCACACATCCAGGAGACTACTCCTTGGGGTAGCAAGTGCAGGGTCGGCGCCTCATTTTAAGGAAATCGAACTCATGCAGGCAGGCTTGAAGTTGGGAATCAAGAAGGCCTGGGGGTGCTGTGTGCCCTCCTCTCAGGGGCCAGAGAGAAAGAGTGGCAAGAAGCTGATCTGAAGAGCCAGGGTGCGCCATGCGGGGAGGCGCTCGTGTTACACTGAGCCCCTGTGCTGGGCACAAGCTGGGCAAGAATGGGGGGGCGGGATGGGTATGTGGGAACAGAGGTCTTTGTGGGGCTCCACCCACCAAGGGACACCATCAGCACTGTGTGGAGACATGTTGGGGGTCAGGTGTGGCTGATGGGAGGGAGGGGTGGTGCTCAGTCCTCTCAGGAGGCCGGGTGCAGGGCATCATGGGAAAGCTCCCTGGCTGGGGCTCACACCAGGCGCCTCTGAGGGCGGTGGCCATGGCCGCCATCTGACCTACTTGCACCCAGCCGCCGTCAATGGGGTACAGGGCCGCACCTTCCGTCCTCTCCATGGTGAGCAGCACATCGCAGACGTGCTCCGGGTAGTCGCTGGTGCACTGGACGGCGCGATGCAGCGCCTTCCGGCAGTGCTGCGTGTCACCGTGCGCCCTGGGGAGAAGAACAAGCGTCTCGGTCACACAAAGCACAGGCCCAGCAGGGGAGGGGCCTTCCCTGGAGCTGAGGAGCCCCGGCCTTCACAACCACCCGTGGGGTCTCCTTGCTCCCTGAGCCTCCGCAGCCGCACAGGCCGCGCTGTCCCTGGGCCTGGCAGCGGCTTGGAAATCAGGCCTGGTCAGCAGCAAATGCCAGCTTCAGTTTCAAAGCCGGAAGCAGGTTCTGTGACACCCAGCAGGGTACTGCCCGCCAACTCCACAGAACCAGAAGGCCCGGAAGAGATGCTGTGTGGTGTGCAAGAGGAAAGCTACTAGGCCAGGAGGGGGTTAGCATTCACTCCAGGGACAGAGCCTTATGTCCCTGTCCCCACACGCTGCTCACCGCAACACCACACACACACACACACACACACACACACACACACAACCACATACAACTCAGTTTTTAAGGTTTGTAACATATATGTTCTAACTGTTTTCTTTTGTTCGTCGTGGGGCTTAAACTCTAGTCCTGGGCACTGACCCTGAGCTCTTCAGCTCAAGGCAAGCACTCTGCCACTTGAGCCACAGAGCCCCTTCTGGTTTTCTGGTGGTTGTCTTACAGACTTTCCTTTCCGGGCTGGCTTTGAACCACGAGCCTCAGATCTTAGCCTCCTGAGTACCTAGGATTACAGGCATAAGCCACCAGCATCTGGCTTCTAATTGCATTTTTATTTTCTAGATTTTAGCATCAAAAAGTCTCAAGCCACAGATTAGCAATAATTACGTATGGGTCAGGGGTTTCAAGTAAAGTTTTCTTCTCTTTGCTTTTTAGTATTTTCTAATTTCTTGCAAAAGCAAATACAGAAGAAATAAAAATACCTACAACAAGTCTAACAAAAAAAAAAAAAACACTCATGTCCAAAAATAAGAGCCCCAGGCATAAAATCCTGTCCGGTCCTGTAGCCTGGTGCAATTATGAGCAATGGAGGGAGGGAGGGAGGAGCGGGAAAGCAGTGCCCACCCCGCCACCCTGGGCCACCTACCTTTCCAGGTTGTAATATTCAAGCCACATGTTGGCGTATTTGGCGTTTCCTTTGGTCATGATGCTGTCCCAGAGTTCCCGAGCTTTCTGCATATTATTGCAAAGTCGAGCCTAAAATGGATTGGCAAGCTCTATAAGGACCAGACCAGAACCTTCTGACATGGTACCAAGCACAAAACCCGCTTCACAGACACGCACCCAATGCCCTCCATCAGATCAGCCAAGTCCCCTGGCATCAGCCGGTGTGCCTTCAGGGCTGGGGGCGTGGCGCAGTGGCAGAACCCCCGAACGTGGGCAAGGCCTGATCCCCGCAGTGCTGGGAGGGAAGCCAGAGGTCTGCCTGTCTCTGTGAACAAGGAGCAGCCTGGGCCCATGCATTGTTTTTTTTATCAAACTTAACTACTACTGTTTGATTTGAGAGCATTGCAGAGAGACAGTATCAGTGTGACCTGGGCAAGTGATGTTTCCCAACCTTCTGAGCCTCAGTTTCCTCATCCTACAGCCGCTTTGAACCGCGATCCTCAGATCTCAGCCTCCTGAGTAGCTGGTGTGAGCCACCAGTGCCCAGCTTCTAATTGCATTTTTATTTTCTAAATTTTGGCATCAAAAAGTCTCAAGCCACAGATTAGCAATAATTAAATATGGGTCCGCGGTTTCAAGTAAAATTTTCTTCTCTTTGATTTTTAGTATTTTCTAATTTCTTACAAAAGCAAATACAACACAAGCATCCCGTTAAGAAACCACCTCACAGATGTCAGCCTCAGCCTGTCCCCCCCAACCCCTCACCTCCCTTCCCAACCCCTGTAGAGCATGCTCAGTGGAAAAGCTGGCCAAGGGCAGGTCCACGTCCACTCAGCTCGGTGTCTCTGACAGGCTTATATCGTCTGTGTGTCCAATCCATCCTCTGCCCTGAATCAAAGTCTCAGCAGGAAGACAACATGTCCTGGCACATATTCATGAGTAGAGCAGGGAAGGAGAGACGGGAGCAAGTAAACACAAACCTGCTCTAGGCTGCATACTGCCAGCTTCTGGCACCCCACTGAGTGAGAAACACCAATGTGCAGAGCCCAGCCCTCCATGGGGACGGTGGCTGTGTCAGTCAGCGGTTCACGGAACACCAGCAGCAGGCATTCACGAAGAGCACTTACCTCAATCCTAGCCCAGTTCTGCATGACCACGCAGCTAGGATCTCCGTTCTCATTAAACCCTTCAGGAAGAGGATGATAAAAATTAGAAAAAAATGGAGGCCACTTGCCCTTGGCTGTGAAGTTTCACCAACCAAGGCCAGGCCGGACTTACGCTCTTCCACCTCCTGCTGCAGATACTCCAAAGCGCGGGCGAATGTGGCACGCAGCTCTTCCAGTTCCCTGCTAGAGTCTGTCAGAAACACACAGGAGACTTCACAAAGTCGCACAGCCTTGAATCCCACACTAAAAGGGCCTGAAGACCCACTGGGAGCTCAGCATAGTGTGGAAGGCACAGCCCGGTCTCATGCAGAGGGGAGGGGAGGGAACAGCTGGACAGCAAGGGACAGAGATGAACGTGAGCACAGGGATGCCAGAGCACGCAGCAGGGGTGTGGCAAGCAGCAGAACGGCTGAAGGCCTCCTGCATGAAGCGGCAGAGTGTGCAGGCACCAGCTAGTGTTTGGCTGGCTGGCTTTCAGGGGAGGGGAGGGGAGGCAATCTTGCAGATATTCAGAGATCTAAAGAAACCAACAGTCTTATTTATAAGCAGGGCAGAAGAAGAAGAGGTGAGGCCAGAGAAATTGGCAGAGGTAGTATTGAATATCCAATGCGAGGGCAGCATCTCCTTCCCCACAGCTGGACTTGGGAAAGCTAGAAACCTCATGGGGAGATGGGGCTGTGAAGGGGGTTGTGACATCTGGGGAGCTGGGAAATCAGTACCTTGTTTGAAGTCAACCCGCCTCCGCAGGTAATCTAGGTAGGTCTGCCAAATCTCCACGTAGTCTGTGGCCTGGATGAAGCCAGCACTCAAAGCTTTCTCAAAGGTTGCTGGAGTTTGGAGAAAAAGTCAGGACTCACTGCCATTCAAAGAGAAGCTCCTATAGTTACCAAACTCTGCAACTACAAAGCCCTACAGGACTTTAGTAAAATGGTCACAATAATGATCATAATAACCGCACCTGGGTTGGATCCCCAGCACCACACAAGTAATGACTGTAATATAACAGCGATAGGATGCAACAGGTGGAATAAAAAGAGCAAAGCATCTAAAACCTAAGTTCCCTGTTCTAGAGCTCACACTGTGTATTACACACAAGCTGCAGTAAGGGGCCATGTCAAATCAATCTAGAGAAAAGACCCCAACTTCGAAAGTCACAATGAGAATCAAAATGTGACAAACTCCAGAAAACCAATTCTAAGCTTTAATCTACCAGAAAGAGCCCTCTTTATCTTTTTATTTTTTTTTTGGGGGGGGGGTCCGGTCGTGGGGCCTGAACTCTGGGCCTGGGCGCTGTCCCTCAGCTCTTCAGCTCAAGGCTAGCGCTCTACCACTTGAACCACAGCACCACTTCTGGCTTTTTTTTTTCTGCTTATGTGGTGCTGAGGAATCGAACCCAGGGCCTCATGCATGCAAGGCAAGCGCTCTACCACTGAGCCACCTTCCCAGCCCCCTCTTTTTCTTTAGTACTCAATATTCCAAATAAAAACTGGGTAATGTTGGTTACTGACTTCAATACAGTTCTGTCTCTCACTTAGAAGTAGATGAGCACAGTAGTGCACACCTGGAGTTCCAGCACTCGGGAAGCTGAGTCAGCTGCGCAACTGTGTCTCTCCCCGACCCCCACCCAAAAAAAGAGCAGTTTAGACATTTTCCCACAAAAAACATTCACACCAGAAATGTCTTGATGGTCAACTCCATGTCTCTCCATGGCCAAGAGGTACCGAGCCCACAGGGCAGCTGTCCAGGGGCAGTTTCTAACAGCGCGGCTGTGCACAGACAAAACCACGTCCTTCACTTTCAGCTGCCGGTCCTACGATACATAATTGCAGGGGAGAAGATAAAACTTCACTGGTAAGACATCCGCATCAACGAGACATTGCCAGCAAAACCAGCTAAAGGAAATTTCCCCTTAAAATGTCTCTGGTGATCTAGTTTCTTTAAGGAAGAAATGGCCAAGGGGTGGAGGAGAGATGGGGGGGCCCCCCCTCAGGTTAAAACCACCTTGATTAAAAAAGCCAGCCCTTGTGTGGGTCCTATTGCAGGCGTCTTTCCACAAACGTAGATCTCTCACACATCCACACTGAAATTGCACAGTGCAATACGCCTTCTGCATTTTGCTCTAAAATAACAGGCAAGAAGGACTGACATGGATATCAGCAGGAGCAGACTAAAGCCAACAATGCTCTTCAGCGTAGAAGAGGAGGATCTACTTTACCTGCCTGCTTTTGTATGTTTACTGGGCTTAAAAATAACAACAACAACAAAAAGAATCTGTGATAAAGGCCTTGACTATAAGTCTATAAGCAAAATGTTTGTAGAGTTAGCAATCAATTTAAAATAACTTCAAATCAGAAGAAAACCCCAAGCAAGTTGGCAAAGAGGAGAAAAAGAGGCTGGAAGAAAAAGGAGGAGAGACAGAAGGGCATTCTAAGGGATGTCCTTTAAAGAGATTCTAAGTTGGCAAGACCAAAATAAAAGCAGAGCAGTCATCTTACTAGGTACTGACTGTAACGGATCCATAAGTCTGGGACAAGGCAGTTTTCAACCAGGGCGCGCTCAAAGATCAACTGGATGCGAGCAGGGTCACCAGTTTTCATCTCAAAGTCAATGTACGATTGGTACTCTGCCAGCCTCGGGGCCTCTGCTTGCAACTGGAGCATAGAACAAGTGCACTCAAGTTAAGCTGAGTTACTTGATACTGTCAGAGCACAAGCATCTTCAAATCAAGTGAAGGTTGGCGAGAGGTGTGGAACCAAGATGGGCATCACCAAATCCCCGCTTGTACTACAGCATGGCAGGCACAGCGCTCTCTAATGAGCGCGCTTTGCCTAACTTACAGTAACTGTAACCCCTCTTTGTACATTACCTTTATGATAGCAATTTAAAAATAAAAATAAAGTAAGAAGGCAAACCATCAACTTGGGAGGGGAGGGGGCTGTCACATACAACCAAAAATAAGAATAAAACTCAGGACTCCCAAGAAGCAATTAGAAAAGAGACAAAAAACTTTTTTTTGTGTTGGTCATGGGGCTTGAACTCTGGGCCTGGGCGCTGTCCCTCAGCTCTTCAACTCAAGGCGAGCGCTCTACCGCTTGAACCACAGCACCACTTCTGGTTTTCTAGTGGTTTATTGGCAATAAGAGTCTCAAGGACTTTCCTGCCACGGCTGGCTTTGAACGGCAATCCTCAGATCTCAGCCTCCTGAGTAGCTAGGATTACAGGCGTGAGCCACCAGCGCCCGGCTAAGAGACAAAAAACTTTTATTACTTTTATAGACTAAGATTTCAGCAAGCACATCACATACACACACACACACACACACACACACACACACACACACACGCAATCCAACTGAACAGCTGTTCAGCCTCATTAGTAATAAAGAATACCCAAATTAAAACTAGCACCTCCAACTCATCACACTGGCTAGAATTCACGTCTGTCAATAGCAGACGGGCGCGTCCTGCCCTGGCCACATTCAGCAATGCTCAGAGCACCACCACACCCCAGCAAGTGCCAGGAAGACAATGCTACTTATCAACAGAAGTAAAACTAAGCCCATGAGTCTATTATGTAAAAGCTCAGCGTCAAGCAAAATGGAACCATACATCAACCGAGGCTAGCTCATAGTTGTGAAACTACAAAGAAAAGCCAGGGAAGAGAGGCATCCCGGGTACTGTTCTGTTCCTTAAGCTGGGGGGCAGGTGCAAGGATGTGCATTTATTTATTATTAGGAAGCACAGAATACTGTATTACATGTTTACAGTCTGCACATTCACAGTACAACAAGCTTGCTGGAGGAGAGAAGTTTCTAGAAACAGCACACTCACCAGGGCTTCCTCATAGGGCTTGTATTTCTCCAGCTGCTGCAACGCTTTGTTATAGCTCTGGATCACTGACTCCGGAATGGGGTCTTCTGACCACTCTTCATACTCGGCAAACGTGGCCTCCATATCTGTTGAAAGACAGATGTGGCCCCTGTGGATCTGGCCACTGGGTTTTAACCAACCCAACATGGAAACAGGGCCTCTGAGCTGCCAGCCCCTCCCACACCTGTGGTATGGCAGCTCTTACTAACCACATTCTGAGTTCTTCTGCCCAGCCTGACCTGGCCTTAGAACTCGTCCATAAACAAATACAGCACACCAGGCCCGGAGAGACCAGGTGCTTCAAGCTAGGCCCGAATGCCTCACATCGGATCCTCACTGTGCAGCTGAGGATGCGGAGGCTGAGGGGGCTCCCGTGCAGAGCGTCTCGCCTGGGCATGGGAGGGGCCCCACAGCGCAGCTCTGGACTCTGCTGCCAGAACTGCTGTCACCCAGCAAGCCCCACACAGCCACTTCCCCGTAACTCCCCATGAACTCACATCCAAACAAGCCATGACGAGAAGAGGGAGTCACGACTATGGACAAACCAGGACCGTGCCCTGGGGCACTCACACAGGAAGCCTGGCAAGCAACTGTGCTTTCCAACTCCACCACCCACACAGGACAGACACGCGTGTATGAGAAACCCCACTGTATGGCCTACAGATATCTAACAACCAAACTCCTGTTCCACAGCATCCCTACTTCTCCTTACTGAGATCCTGGCTTCCCCTTTCCAACTAAGTCTTAAAGTAGGAAAAGGACTCGAATGGGAGCCAGGCGCGGGGCTGTGGAGCCACCTTCCTGTCTGCCCTGCAGTGCTCTTGGGCATGAACAGCTGAAGGCTAATTCTTCTAAGGACCCAATGGCACGGCCCAATGAGAGCACCAGCCCCACCCGCCGCACAGGACGCTGGACACGGACCTGCGCTGGCACGGTCCAGAGCCACAAAGGGCCACTACTGACCCATCTGTCTCTTACCGTAGAGCGGGATCGCCAACTGTCGCCGGAAGAGACTGTGCACTTTCTCAAGCTGTGAATCAAAGGTTTGTTCCCGGTCAGAAGGGAAAAGGAAGCCAGCTATGGGCTAAAGAAGCAAATCAGTAGTAAATGACAAACTTTGGTTCTTTCTACTTCAGCAAAAGCTGAACTAATTTTCAACTCAACCAAAAAAAAAAAAAAAAAAAAAGAAAACAACAGCCATACATCATGTGGGAGGGAGGTATCCTGACAGATGCTGGAGGACACTGAAAGAAACGCCACCTGTGACCTTAGGGCTCCTGACAGGGAGCAGCAGAGTGAAAAACACACAGGTAAATACTGCAGCCACAGCAGCATGCAGCAGGATGTGAAGCACTCTCTGCTGGCTTGGGGGGAAGGAAGAGGGGTGCAGGAGCAGGGAGTGGGGAGCAGCTGGGGGCTCAGCGACTTCCATGTGAAGAATGGCGTAAGTGGCAGCAAATGCAATGCGTGAGGCAGCTGATACAGGGCAGACACCTGGGACCTCGGCGCTCCGGAGTTCCAAGACAGCTTGGACTACAAAGGGAGATCTTGTCTCAAAAAACAAAAAGCAACAACAACCAGGTTTAAGGGAGTCCACCCTGGGGTTACAAAGGTTGGACAGAGGTGCTAGCTCTGACAGCGCTATCCAGGTTCACTGAAGGCTCTACAGTCTTCTGGACAGAGATGTGATCAAGAAGCTACAGGTAGCTGGGTGCTAGTGCCCATACCTGTAATCCCAACTACTCAGGAAACTGAAATCTGAGGTCTGTGGTCTGAAGCCAGCCCAGGCAGGAAACTGTCAGACTTAACTCCAATTAACCATACCACCACCACCACCCCCAAAAAAAGACCAGATATAGAGCTGTGGCTCAAGTTGGTAGAGTACCAGCCTTAAGCAAAAGAGCTCAGAGAATGAGCCCAGGCCCTGTGTTCAAGCCCCAGAACTTGCAAAAAAGAAAAAAAAAAAAAAGCAGCAGTACTAGAGTCACTGGAATGGCTGTGGGTGAACTGTAATTTCTCAGGCTTTGCAATCTGTGTGCCTCCCTTGGGGAAGGGAGCCAGGGCAAACATGCCCTTCACAGCTGCTCCACTCCTCTCAGCCGGGTGCTGGTCTCACTGCACTTTTTTTTTAACCTGAGGCACTTTGAATATAAGCCACAGCACAGGAGATCCAAAACAGCATTTTTTTCCATGGGATATTGGATTTATGAGCATTTTGGATATCAATTTTCAGACTAGGAATGCTCAATCTATAATGAAATAGTAAAGGGATCCTCTGTGTACCAATGCACACTGAACATTTGCACACTGACTAGAAAGAGGACAGATCGGTAAAATTCTACACATCTCATACACAAACACATGCACTCACACGTAAAGAAACATGTGTGCACCTTGTATCCACTCACGTACCTATATCTATGTGCACACCTACAGGCACACCTAGGTTCTAGGACGCCCACTTGGAAGCATGTAACCAAGGCAGGAGTGTTTTAAAACAGCAGAAAAAAGGCCACCCTCTACTCTTAAGGCAAAGATCCTTCTTGCTACTCCATGGAGATCACTGATTGTATTTATTTACTGGCCATCCTCTAATGGACTATCCAGTTAGCTAAGCTAACCCAAGACCCATCTTGGTCAGCTGTTTCAAAATAGCACTTCCAGACACTACCACGACAGCCCCTCAGCACACAGAGGCGGGCTTGGAGGCAGAGGTGTGGCACTTACCCGAGCAGCTTCCACGATGGCGCTTTCAAACTCTCGATAAGCCTCCCAGATGGCCAGCCCCTTGGTCATGTGCAAACCAACAGACGACAGAGCTCTTTCAAACACAGAGCGAACTTTCTCAAGGCCACCTTTCTGACCAATGCCACCGACTGAGTACTGGCCATACTCTAGCCAAATGTTAGGACCTAAGAATGAGAAGCACAGTGTAAGTTCTAGACATAACGTAGTACCCAAAAGAGCATCATCAGCCAGCTACCCAATTGGCTATATTAACGCACTATAGCCAAGTATGTTTATTCTCATACAGGCAGGTCCCTCATGCCTGTAATCCCTCCTACCCAGAGAGCAGGGCCATCAAGGGCTGCAGAGAAGAGGTCAAACCACACAAAAAGTGCACGTGAGCCCCACCCCAGCCAGTCAGCTGGCTAGCCGGGTCTTATTTTGTCCTGTATTATAATACATGAGGTAGAGAAACTAGATGAAATAAGAACTTCTCTGTGCTATTTTTGAAACTTCCTATGAAACTACAATCATTCCCAGACCTCTCCTTTGAGAGGTCTCAATTGAGCAGAGACTGAAAACCTCAGAAAGCTGAACTTCAATCATTCTAACTACAAGGCTAAGGCTCTGCTTTCTGAGACTGGCGAAGATGGGCAGTGAGCGCCCGGCCTGGGCTGGCGTCTGAGAACTCACAGATGTAGTCCTGCACGGCTCTCTCGAACAGCTGGTACACGTGCTCGCGGTCCTGGCCATCCGCTGCCATGCTGACTTCGTCCTGCAGCCACTCCAGCCAGAGCTCTAGGAGACAGGGGCGCCTGCATCACACCGCCCTCCCCAAAGGGCAGCGGAGGGTGGGCTTACCACACACAGCCTGGCACCAACACCTCGTCCATTTCTGCACAACCTCCACCCGGACACACAAACAAGCACACAGGCTTATGCTTCCAAGTAGCATGAAATCGCTGAAACGCCACAGCCCCCACGTGTGCCGCACTGAGTTTTTGCAGAGTTTACCTGTGCATCTGCATGTCTATGTGCACATTCAACCTTTACCTGCAAGCTATCTTAAGGGCTGCAAGCGATCGCTAACACCACCCATACAGCAGGAGACAGAATCCATCTAAGGCCTTGCTCCTGCAGCAGGTACTAGGTGTGTGCACTAGAGCCCTCAACCTGCTCTGTCATAACTACAAGGCCAGACTGCTGTCATCCTCACATTACTCAAGGACAACTGAGTCAGACTGCAGCCATGAGGAGTTGGTACGTGAGGGAGGAGCGAACCTGTGCAGTGTCCCCTCAGTAGCTGTACTTTGCAGGAGAAGGGAGGGGACAGACCGAGCTGGGCCCAAAGCAGGGTTTTCCACCTCCTGCTCCAGACACCACTTACGAATATTTGTGAATATGGCTGTGTCCAGCAATCCCAGCTCCTTGGGAAGTGGGCACAGGGAAGGCCACTGGCAGGGCTGCCATACACAAAAAGTTAGCAAGACCCCATCTCAACAAAAGAGCTGGGCATGGTGGCACATACCCATCATCCTAGCTAAGTGGGAGGTGTAGGTGGGAGAATCTTGGCCAAAGTGGTAGTGTGCCTCAAGCAATAGAGTGCCATCCTTGAGCACAGAAAGGCTCAGGGCAGAGCCCAGGCCCTGAGTTCAAGTCCCAGGACCAGTAAAAAAAAAAAAAAGAAAAGAAAATAGTGAAAAGTAATTAAAGCAAAAATGGCTGATACCCTCAAAAATAAAATAACTAGAATGTTGCCCAAGTGCAAAGATGTTCTAATAAGCAAATATGTCAAAATGACCTGGGCACACAGATACCGGGGCTCAGCGAAGGGATGGAGCATTTGCACTCAACTGGATAAAAGTTCAACCGTATTTACAATGCACGGGTGCTGAGTACGGACTAAGTACACACACAGCGGGCGGGGGATCCAGTCCTCACTAACACTGAATAGAAAAACACTGCGTCACGGCATTCCATAAATACATCAGGACTGACCATGTGGCCACAACTAGCAGAGGACAAGTTCAGCAGCTGCCTGGATGAGGGCGCTGTCCTCCTTCGGGGAGTGCCCACGGTCAGCACGAGGCAGGGCCCACCCCGCCAGGCCAGAAGGGCAGCGTTACCTTCAGTCAGGGGGAAGATCTCGCTCATCTTCTGGCGGGCCGCCCTCACTTTGTCCAGCTCCCCCTCCAGCCGGAGCACCTTGATGAGGTCCACGTGGCAGTTGTAGTCGTAGACGTTGATGGACAGCTGGAGGAAAGCAACCCCAGTGGAACTGTAAATGTCAGCCTCAGAGCAACAGCCTTGTCCCCTCTGATGACAACGCACCCGCCTGCTCCGAATCAGACGAACACGGTCAAGCCACCACGGCCACAGAGCACCACGTCAGCACAATGCTCCCCCTGTGTCTTTCAACTCCTGTCAGGAACCACCTGGGTCCTCTAAGTAAAGGAGAGGTTGATTCCAATAAAACAACAAAGTGTGCACCCTCAGGCACTTGGCCAGCCTTCCAAGCCTCCATTTCCTCCTCTGTATATTAGAGATATGCCTCTTTTCTAGTCCTGAAGAGCTTGTGAGCAATTAATATTTAAAACGTAACAGCACTGTAAGAACTCTTACTTTACTAAACAAAGAATGAAAATCTCCTTTAAAGAAATAAGAATGGCCAAAGCGGTGCCTCATACCTGTAGTAATCCTAGCTACTCAGGAGGTAGAGCTAAGAGGATCACAGTCCAAAGCCCTCTCTTTTGCAAAGGCAAAACAAGATAGTAGCTTGGCGCAAGTGACAGAGTGCCTGTCTAGCAAGTCGAAGGTCCTGAGTTCAAACCCCAATACTGCAACACCTTAGTATATTGGTTTAAGGGTACATGACTACGGCCATCCTGGCAGCAACTACCATTTTGCCTACACCAAATAACCAGGGCACACATCCCCCATGCCACAACCAGCACATTGTGCCAGCACTGATGCCTGAGCCTGGCCATGTTATCACACAACTCATTTACACAATCATGACACCTCACCTCACACTCAAAGGCTTGGGCAGTTAGGTCCACAGTAAAAGGACAAAGACATGCATGCAAGCACTGGTTATAAAGAGGGCAACACAGCCGCATTAGCATCACATACAGTGACTTCAAAGCAAAGACTAGCAGACAAAGGGAATCCTGTGGTGACCACAGGGGCGATCTACCAAGAAGATGTCACCAACCACTACACCTCCCAGGACACAAAGAAAATCCAGAGAGCTGAAGGAGGAGACACAGCTTGGGAGCTGTAACATCTCTCCAGCAACTACTGGACAGAAATCATCCCGAATCTAGAACCCAGTACCATCAAATAGCATGACCCACCTAGTACACACAGAACACTTCACCTAACAAGAACAGAACACGGATTTTTTTTTTCAGGTGCGCATGGAGCAGGCCTTGAGACCGAATCCTAGGCCATGGCACAAACCTCCATATCACAAGAAGAAATAATATCATATAGCCCACAATGGAATCCAACTGGAAAGCAATACAGTAGGAAAACCTCCAAACATTCAGAAATGAAGCAATGCACTTCCAAATAATGTACAGAGCCACAGTGATGTCCCAAAGGAAATTTAAAATTACACAAAACTGAATGAAAACTACAGCAAATTGAAATCAATGGGATGCAGCAAAAACAACACAGAACAGCAAACACTGTGAGAACTAAAGCCAGCACATAAATGTACAAAAGCAAGTGAGACTCATTCCAGGCTTGCAAAACAAACCCATTATTTGAAAACCAATCACGGTAATTCACTGTAGCAGCTGCCAAAGCAGACAAGCTATAGTATCAATGATGCCAAAAATGCACCTGACAAGAGCCCTCAGCAAGGCAGGACCAGATGGGAACTATCTTAACCTGAGAACAAAAAATTAAGACCTGCAGCCAACATCTTTATAATGGGTAAAGGATTACTTCTCTCCTAAAACCAGGAACAAGACAAGAATGTCCACTCGACACTTTTTTCAAGAGTTCTACAACTCTTGGTTTATTTCTAAACCAAGAAATAAAAGATACACGGGTGTAAAGAAGAAAGAAAAATGTCCTGATTGGTAGGTGACATGACCAATAAATAGAAAAGCCCCAACAAGAAACCCTCCACAAACAAGTGAGTTACAAGCAAAGTCACAGAACACAAGTAAACACACAAAGCAACAATTAACATGCAGACACTAAAACCACAATACCATTTACAATCATTCCAAAAAGTCAAACCCTTCAATAGAAACCCCTAAGATGTAACAGAACCCATGTGCGAAAAGTAATCAACAGATGAGAGAAATCACAGATGTTAACAACATGGAGAAAAGTTCCATGCTCAAGGATAGAAACATTGAACAGAGCCCAAAAGTAATTATTCTCAGGCTGGGGATGGAAGCTGGGTGGTAGAGCACACACTCAGCCTGTGGTGTGTGATACCTGCATTCAACACCCAGCAACACCCAGAAAAAAAAAAGAAGATTAAATTCTTCTCCAGTTGATATAAAACCCCAAGCACAATCCCAACAAGCTCATTTTGCAGACAAGTTCATTCTAAAATGCAGTTGGAATAGCCCAGACTTAGAGCTGCTACTGGTCTGGAAGAAATCAATTGCTAAGAATCATTCTACTGCCACTAATACTTCCCACGCAGCCACAGAGATCCACAAGGTGTGACGCTGGCAGAAAGCCACCCAAACAAGCACACACAATTCTTGATAAAGATGCAAATGTACTTGAATGAAGAGTCTTTTCAGCAAAAAGACCCTAGAGTAATTAGATACTTAGCTACAGGTAAAAAATAAACTTTAGCCAGGTGGTGGCTCATGTCTGTAATTCAACATTAAGAAGGAGGACCTTCAAGTTGGAAGCCAGCATGGGCTATACACAGTGGAAGAGGGAAGGAAGGAAGAGGGAAGGAGGGAAGAAGGGAAGGAGGGAGGGAGGAGGGAAGGAGGGCTCAGAGCACCTTTAATCCTAGCAGTCAGAATTGGAAAGCTCCCAGCTGCCTTTCAAAGATGACTGGTTAAGCAGAGAATGAGCTGACAATACACTAAAGAACCAGGGAAGCACAGGGGAAAAGCACATCCCAAAAGGCAACAGACACCTGTTAGATTCAGTGCCAAGTTATTCCTGAACCGCAAGGTGGTTTCACATCAGAAAAGCAATCAGTGTCATGTTCCACTCTAGCAGACCAAGGAACAATGTGGTGATCTCAATGAAGAAAAAGCATTTGGTACAAATGACTGTTCATGATCTTAAATGTTTTAATTTTAAAACACACCTCAAGGGAAAAGTATCAAGTGGGACAATTTGTCCTGTAAGTTAGCCAGCCTCAAGCTGGGCACCAGTGGCTCACATTTCTAACTCTAGCTGCTCAGAGGCTGACAGCTGGAGGTCAGCTCCACAGACCACCCCGAGATGAGCAGCAGCAGCCGCAGCCCCGACAGGGCCAGGTCTATCTGGAAGTCCCATCAGGAGGCTTCAACAGAAGGGCAGTGAGGGGCAAGATGGAGTGGAAGAGAGGCTGAGAGCATCAAACTGAAAAACCTCTAGCTAGACCCAAGACAAACAGAGTAAGGCTGTAGGCTCTCAGTTCTCTGGTGCAATCATCTTTGAGATCCATCCCACCCCAGGGAGTGCACGTGTAGCTGAGGTAGGGCAGACAACTGGGCACCAAGCTAGAACTCTGCTCTGACCCAAGCCCACCCCAGGACTCCAGCCTCCCCTTCCTTCTAGAACAGGGGATCCTGTTTCCTCTACCTCACAGAACAGTGAGCTCATCCAAAAGCCCAGGCTAGCAACCTGAAGAAACGATTTCAGTTAGGGCAGGGGCACAGTCTGGCACCCCACACCATCCTGTATTTGCTGAAAAGTATTACATGAGTATCAGCACATGCACTGATAGAAAGGCAGAAAAGGTAACCACCAGGCTGCCCGAGACAATCAGACCAGATGAGAGACGGACAAACTATGCCCCAATGTGCTGTGGTGACCCCAACCCCTCCCCCACCTGCCTCAGAAAGTGCATAGACACACAAGAGATACAGAAGATTCTGTCAAGGGATTTTTACATTCTATTTCTGTACTCTCTCCCAAGAGCTGCAGAGGCACACCAGGTGGGGGGTGGTCTGCTCTGTTTTTATTCTAACTTGGGAGTGACCTTGTCCCTTCTCCTTGTTGCTAAGGAGCTCATCTTTTCTTTACAATTGGCTACCAGGGGCATGAGATAATACAAGGAAGTTAGGAAGCACTGTAACCATCAGTGAAAGGTTCCTAACTGGGGCAGGAGGGCGGGGCTGTCCTTTTTGGAGGCAAAGGCTGAACTGGCAACAGTTGAAGGAGGTTGGTAAAGTCGGTGGAAAGCTCCCACTCTCGGAGGGGGGGAGGGTCAATTCTTTAATTCCACGGACAAAGATTTATATACCAGGCATGACTGGCTGGTCACCAACACCACACTTAGGGGAACTTTTTTTTTAAGAGCACATTTTAGGCTTCTGGTTCTCTGGCTTCCAAGTAAGTGGCTCTGAGGCACCAGCAGGTGTCTAGAGAGAGACAAGGAGGGAGGTCAATCTCCAATTGGGAATTCCTCCCTGATTCTTGACCAAATTCAACAGTTGGGGTAACAATCGCTCTCTTCATCCCTTCAGGACTGAGAAAAGGTGGACACGAGGACCCTGGCCATGCCTTTATAAGCACGGTCATCTCTTTATTGGTCACGGTATCCTCATAGGAATTTACCAACTTCCGACGAGGTCTCTAGATTGTTTCCACGGGAGGTTAATACCGCCGCCACCTTCAAAAAGTGGAAGCTGAGAATCCACGCTACTAGTAGGTGCCAAGCACAGGGTTAGATTTACGACCTCATTCCGCAGGGATGAGGAAGCCACGGCTCAATGAAGGTCAGAAATGTGCCCCAAGAGCGAATGAATCAACTAGCAAACCATCCATCCACGTTCGGCTACGGAAACCCTGACCTTTCCGTTTCTCTCTCTCTCCCTCAGTCTCCTTTCCTGCCACGCCATTATTTGATCAGCGTCCTTGTGCCTATGAGGAAAACAAATCTCTTACGAATGTCAGACTTTTTGAAGTTCGGA